ATATAAATATAATATATATAAAATATATATAAATAAAATAAATATAATTTCTGAAAGTTGAGATCGGTGAAAGATCCGAGTGAAAAAATCTCGAGATCGGCGCACAAATAATAGAAAAAAAAGCATGGATGAAGATCGAATTGTAATAAATGGAATACGTGCAATCATTGGATAAGAGGATCAGTAACCTCTTACAGTAATTTTGCTTCTACTTCTACGCAGCGTGTTCACCGTAAATGATATACACACGATTGCTTCTTCGCTTGTTCGCGAAGATGTTATTTAACTTGTTGGAGAAAATTCTACTCGATAGAATCGGTTAAAAAGATAGTCGACGATCGTTAATTTAATTCCTTCCAGGATATTTACAAGATACAATTAAACGATAAAACTAATCCCTATACTTTTTCTATCCTATCCTTTAAATTGTACAATATATTAGAATTAATCGTGAAAGTTAACAGCGGGTATTGATCAGTTTTTCAATCAAATTGTTAATAACAAGCAACCCGTTATCCATTCATCGTTTGGTGAAATAAACGAGAAACGATCGCAAAGGATTATTGTTAAATTTCTAACCGAATAATAAAAACAAAATAGAAGGTAATATAAAACACGGTCAATGGATTATCCTCAAGGACAAAAATCCAATAAATCACCGATGACGACTTCGGTCAAATAGAAATATTATCATAGAAAAAAATTCTAACGGGCAAAGATTAGTATGGTGTGCTATAATGGGCCAGGGATCGGTACATGCTATTTCGTAGCCGTCATGCAAATCGAATCAACTTTTTCTTGGAACAGACTCATGGACAATCCGGGACAAGCAGGTTCCCTTGAGTAACCACGGCGAACTGGTTTTAACATAATATTTGGCCTGCGTTCATATGTGTGGAGATATTTGTTACGCGAACGAGGTATAATTATCGGCGACAAACGCGCTTTCTTTCGTATCTCAAGGCTATTACCGAGGGATGCTATTACGATGTTAATCGAGGTGAAAACGTGGCATCGTCTTCTCGAAATTAGAGATCTTTCAATGGAGGTACGTACGCTTTACCTTGAGTTTTAATTTTAGAAAAGAAAACGTGTCGTTTTACGTATAAGTATGAATAAATATTAGATCTTAGATATATTTATAGATTCGCTAGCTCGTTTAAATTGAGGAAAATTAAAACTGGTTAGGGATCGATTGAATTTTATTGGAAGATATGTGAAATAATTTTTCGTTGAGCATCGTTGTATGTTATGTTTTTTCATTTGAGAAGATTAAGGATAGATAATAAAGGATTGATCGATTATTTTAATCGAGAATAATCGATTTCGATAACGTGATCTGAAAAATTATTAGTAGAATATGAATTAGAGAAAACTACATTCCTGTCATATTAGCTTTGAATAGAATATGTAATATAGCAAAAGATATTTTTCAGGTCATATAGAGAACGTGTTAAATTTCTAACCGAATAAAACAAAATAGGAGGTAATATAAAACCGGAATGAGGATTTGCATGTACAGGATGTGATAATGGGAGAGAAAGGTTGAACACATGATTGGCAATTTTTAAACCCGAAATTCTGTGTATTCTGATCGAAGCTTATTCACGTGACAAGTATCATATATGCGAAACAAGGCCGGTTGCTTGTATTCAATGCTGATGCCTGTATGAACTTGATCCATTAGCATTGTGCAACGTGTTGTAGGTGCGTAGGCTACTCGTTTTACTCGTTCGATTTAAAACAGCTCACGATTGCAAACGTGGCTATTTGCGTTTCATGATTGCCTTAACGCTCGTTTTTCCTATTTACTAATTCTAATCAGATTTAATAAATTCATTATTTGATAAATCTTACAAATGCATCTTTAATATTATTTGATAATTTTAAAGAGGAAAAACAGCAAACTTTCTAAGAGAAAAGATTCCAAGATTGAAATGGTTCGAAGATGATTCAACATCGAGTGAATATTAATACCTTGTTAGAAGTAAATACGTAAGTAATGCGTTTAAATTATTATATATATATATATATATATATATCTCGACGATCGAAATAAATGAGGTGAACGCAGGTTAATTAAACGCGGTCTAATGGATAATGGAAAATAACACCGCTTTCGAATCGATCGAATTATAAAACTCGATAACCGACAATCTTGTTACAGTATTGCATAATATTTATCTCTGTCACATTAACGTTGAAAATACTTTCAAGATTATCGAAAGTGCGACCGATCCTTCTTTTTGCCAATTAAATTTTACAAGATTTATCGAACAAGAATGATGATCGATCTCGCGCACGAAGGCTGTGCCAAGCTCATCACGATCTCGCTCACGTAAACTTCTAATTATTATCGATTCATATGTGAGACGTAGCTTTAATTTTTCATTCTAAAACTGGTTGGTCAGGTTCCATCGAGTTTTCTCTCCAATCATCGAGTTCACGAGGTCAGTACGCGATTCCTAAAGGTGAAACGAATCCCGGCGATCATCATCAGGAACAGGAACAGGGCAATGAGATCGTGGCAAGCGGCATTGTTCAAAGAATAAATGAACAGAATGTGTGCCATTTTAAGATCACGAATCCACGAGAACGATGACCTTAAAAACTAACCACGGCCACTGACCACGATGATTCATCTGTTTGCTCGCGCGTTAGAGAATCGTAATTAATTTTCAAAGAGATTACAACGACGCTTTCTTCCGAAATAGACGCTCAAAGAGGCCGTTTTTCAACTCTTTCTTATATATCTTATACCTTGATTACGTTTTATTTTTAAATATATAATACATCGAATCATAGTGCTCGTTACGAATTATGAAAATACTTAATCCACAATTTATCTATAATTCGTTTCGTTTGGAAATATTTGTTACTTTCGCGAGTAATGAATCTATGGAGGGTTTTATCTCGAAAATTTTATTCATTTTTCAAAAGTGAAAGGATTATCGGGATGCTCGAGATTTACGTTTTCCTGGATTCTATAAAAAAACACGATTACGTACTCGATTATATATTACGGTAATTTTAAGTTAAAGTTAAAAAGGAAAAAAATCTGTATATTAATTAATGATCGTTTCCTTTCACTGAATCAATTGAATCGTAAAAATGTTGATCGCGGCATCTGTATTCCGTGATATTTTTTCGAACTCTGAGAAAGCAGTATGAAAGCAAACTTTTTAGGGTAACAAGCGTGATAAATCAAGGATACGAGGAAGAAACCACTTTCGATCTACTATCTTCTCTTTTTTTCCCTCTTGTACGTTATAACAGAAATTAACAATAATTGTTAAGTAATTCTCTCTAACGCTACTTTATATAATACATTTTACCTCTTTTGCTATTCGTTTCTCAATTTCAAACGCGGCTGCGAAATTTATCGATCTTCTCTAATTATACGTTTATTTTATAAACCTTCAATCTAACGGAATATTATTAGAGATCATTATTCATTTCATGTCAATTAGGAATATTATTGGACAAGATAATCGTGTTTAAAAAGAATTCACGCCAGATAATTCGTTTCGAGCCATCGTGGTCTTTTAATGATTAATAACCATTAGCTACGAATGTTGAACGATAGAATTTCGAAAAGCTCATGAAAGCTAGACAAATTGACATTACATTATAGATCCTTCTGTTCATATATCATCGATATATATATATATATATATAGATTTTTTTTTCCTTCCACGTGGAATTTCGTGGTCATTTTGATTCAAGGCAAAGAAGACATATGATCTTTGAAAGCAAATATTAACTGTTTGTGCAACGTTTATCAAACATTTACATTGGAGATTCGATGTAGATTACGAAGTAGATATAAACTTGACACGAAATTTTTGACTATGAAATTCAATAATTATGGGGGTTTTTCGATTCTTAAAAATATTTTTATATTTCGAAAGTGTGTGGACGGTGATTCGAATTCAAGATCTGATAAAATATTTTTCTTATCTGATGTATCATTTTATATGTATTTCTAAAGAAAAAATAATTATTTTGAGATTATAGAAGGATACATTCCCTAATTGCAAGAAGGAAAGGATTTCTTGATTTTTTTTCGTTCGCCACTTTATATATTGGAGTGATTATAATCTTTCAAGTCCAGATATTAATTTCGATCTCCGAATTAAAATCTCTTATATTTAAATCAAATAAAGTATAAATTCTTACCGGATTTCGTTTATTAATTCGCTCTTGGCCTCTTTAGATTGCTAGAATTTCATGTCGTTCATAAATATTTCCATAAAATAAGGTCACGAAAGGTCCCGCAAACGGAACTGTCAGATACTACAGAGCAACGAGACATTTTCAATGAGATAGTAGCTTAGAGTCGTCTATAAATCAGAAATAAATAGCACATCGTTGTATTCTAACGTTTAACGGAGCTTTTAGCAAATATGGTAGCACACAGAGGTCTTCTTCTACGATTGAGTGTTAGTACTTACATATATATATGTATACAAAACTTCCGTTCCTCAAGAGAGAGTGGAAGAACTATCATCGATACGATACGATCATGAACAGCTCGAAGAAATCCTTTAATTTAAAGAGAAAATAACGTAATGATTGTTATATGTTTTCGATAAATCACAAGAAAGTCTATAGTGTTGTCTTTTAAATGAGAACATAATTAAGAATCTAATTGTAAGAAACTAGTCATTGTAGTAGATTGATCCCACGACTAAAGAAATTTAATTTTGATATAAAAAAATAACAACCTGATAATTATGATTGTATTTTAATAGGACCGGTAATTCATTACGTTTTTTTAAAAAGGATCCCCTATCTAGATGCTTTTACTTTGATCTTGATTAGAAAGTTTTTCTAGATGAGTATATCAAGATAATTCCAGGATGGTTAGCCGTATTAAGTTACCTTTGATTGATAATGGAATTAAAATTATTCTTTCCTGCTGAAAAATATTTTTTAAAGTACTTATCAATCTGAAATGAAAATAATAATTTTTCAGTGATTTTCAGTGAATTCATCACTCGCAAATTCAATTTTATTGTTGCGTATTTTTTTATACAAGTAATATACTTATGTATATATTACAAAAAAAAAATGGGAGTTCATTTATAACAGATTAAAATACAAAATGTCACAAAAATGTCACTTTCTCATTAAATCTCATTCTTCAAATTCTGAAATCTTATTAATATTCATCATGCGAAGAAAAAAAATCACATTTTTTGCATAATTTTTTTTCCGCAATTACAATAATTATATAAAAATTTACAATTCTTTCAATTATAAGTTAATAACGTAGATAATACCTTTTGAATAGAAAGAGATAAAAAGAAAAAGGAAAAAGACATGAAAAAAAGGAATTCAGGATCTGATGTAATGATTTACAGGTTAAATCGATACGTCTTACCGTAAAACAACGATTTCTAGGAAAAGGCGGTCGTTCATACTGTTATGGTAACTCTCGGATTACCAATTGACAGTGCTACTTTCAAACGAATCTAATACTTTCTATCGTTCGATTACATTTGCAGGCTGTAGCAATTCGATCGATTTATTCATTGAATTGCCTCGTCAAGCACTTATCGTTTTAACCACTTATCTTGAAAACACCGGGCAAAAAGCATCTTTGTACAATGGTTGCTCCGTTGATTATAAAAACCAGCTACACATTTTATGCGATTGTCAATCCTATAGAGAATCTAAATTTCATGACACAAGTCTGATTCATAACCGCGACGTGTACTTCATTTCTTCAATTTGTCACACAGATTGATTTCATCGAGTCGAAGAATATATGTACTTGTTATTTCTTTATCTAACTAACCGCTAAAATATCTCTTCGAATACTTAACAATCACATAGACGGTTTAATAGCATCTCTTACGTTATCGTTACAATCCGTTCCCTTCTATTCCATTATTTTTAGAAATCGGTGTTAAAATACTTAATTCTTGATCCGAATTGGGTGGTGTTAACGTATCAGTAGGTGTTCTCGAGATTATTCGCGTTTGTACAGTCTTAGACGAGTCTCTCACAGTACCTTCCAATTGTGAACTTTTCGTTTCCATCAGATTATTAACGGTACATTTTTTAAAATGAGTCCTCATATTACTACTTTGAGAAAATCTTAATCCACAATTTGGACAAGAATAAGGTTTGGTCCCTGTATGATAATTGAGATGAGTTTTTAAATGATGTTTCTTCGTGAACGCTTTAGAACATAACGTACATTGATACGGTTTTAATCCAGAATGTAATCTCGTGTGTAACGTCATATTCGATCTATCGGCGAAAGCTTTTTGACAAACTTGACACTGATAAGGCCGTTCCCCGGAATGCGTTCTAAGATGTTGTTTTAACAACATTTTCCTAGAAAACGCTTTCCCACATTGTTCACATTGATGCGGTTTTACTCCAGTATGAATTCTAACATGCATATTGTAAGCGACTCGCTGATTAAAACTTTTACCACATTCCGCGCATCCATATTCTTTTCGGTTACGATGAATCTTCATATGGGAACTTAGATAGCCACGGTCGTTGAAATATTTGCCGCATTCTGGACAGGTCGCTGCGAATTCTCTAGTGCCCTCATGTACGCTTCGGTGGTACTTGTAATTTCGTAGTTGTGAAAATTGTTTACCACAGTCGGTACAACGAAAAGGTTTTTCTCCTGAGTGCGTTCTAACGTGCACCTAAATTTGCAATGGAAACGACGAATTTTTATCACTTGTAGATTTTTTTATTAATTGTAGCTAATTTTAGTAATTAATTTGGAGAATTTTTGTAATAAAATAAAACAAGAATTGTAAGTTGCAAAAATTTGTTATAATACTTAGAAAAAGCAATAGTTCGAATAGATAATATAGAATAAGAAATTGTAAAGAATCATAAATAAAAAAAGCAGAATTTTCTTATTTTGTAGGAATTATTTTACAGGATAAAAAAAATCAAACTTTATTACAGTAATTTGTTCCAATGATAATTTTTGAAATTATAGCAATACAGGATAAGGAAGTGTCAAAAAAAAATCGCAACAATACCTTATACCGACAGTCGTTAATTATAAATGTCAGTAACATGAAATATTAGACAAAAAATATTAGACGAAAAAAAAAAAGAAGCAGAAAAAGTTATCGGAAGCCAATCAATCAATACCTTTAGAGAGGCTTTGGTAACGAAAGTCTTGCCACACTGATCGCACCTATGATTCTCCTGTGCTCCTTTTCCCCGTTGAACAGCATCCTGACTAACGATGGCATCATTATTGTTCTTATCACTGTTGATAATAACTCTCTCAACGAGCTTATCGTCGATCCTCGCCTCTTTCTCCGAGTTCTCAACTTCTAGGTTTGTAAAACGATCGATTTTACCGGTCGACTCGATCGTATCGCACAATCTGCTAACAGGATGAGAAATTTCTAGCTTCTGCGGCGATTGAGGTAGCGTTTGCCCGAAATAGCCACCCTTTTTATTGATATTTATCTGACTATTCTCCATAGGACATGGCAACGTTCTCGTTGTGGAAATTACGTTATTTTGAGATTGTAATATCGTCTCGCTGTTTATAATATCATTGTTTATCGATGTAACCATTTGCGTAATCGTCGACGAAGGGATTTGAGGGGAATAAAATTCTTGAGGCCTCGATACCAAGGTAGAATTTGCTTCCAATAATTTGCTACCATTATGGTACGTGACTTCGTGAGTAGTAGGAACTTCAACACCGTAATAATGATCCGCAGAGTTTTTAGAAAACTGTCGATTAGGACTGATAGAGATCACAGAAGATCGCGTAGTTTCCAACACACGTAGGTTTTCCTCGCTTCTCTGAAACAAAATCATCGAAACCTTTACTTCCTTTCTCTATTTTCTATCTTTTATCGCTGGTAATTAATGTTATTAATTATACAACTTGTACACTTTAATTAATCTCCTCTCTCTCTCTCTCTCTCTCTCTCTGTTTATCCAATTTTTTCGTTTAAGTTTAATCACTTTTTTAAAACGATCGATTGATTAGAGAAAATCATTAGAAACGATTGAATTTAATTCAGCTCGGAAGAAGTGTAAATTCGATCGATATAATTATCAATTCTTAATTAATTTTTATTTTCAAGTTACAGGACCCAATTTAACTATCAATTAATTCTGATTTGTAAACATTTCATATATCTATATTTGATTTTACTTTATCGGCTTCGATCCGGTTTTCGCAATTTATCATTTCGATAACATAGCATCCATGGATCGGTAATTCCAACAAAAGCAGATGGAAATTAGAACGTACGGTTATCTAAGTGGAATATTACGCGAGGAATATATTAAACGATAAAAACAATTTAATACTACATTCTCTAATGATATTTAATATATTATCGAATTATGTTTACGGAAATAGCCAAGCAGTGACAATTATTTTAAAAATATAACGCAACATGAGAAAATAATGTTGCATAAGATTAAGTAGCAATAGTATCCTTGCATGATCTTAATTGATCTTAAAGCAAATAAATTCGTAATTTTTATTCCCAAAAATATTAAAATCTTTCATCCGATTTCTACTTGATTTCTACGCAGCTCGAGTATCAATTTTCGCATTTCGATAAAACCATGCGTTTTTAAAAAGAAAGGTGCATCTTGTTGCAACTGTGAGTGAAAGAAAAATAAAGAAGAAGATTTCGTGTTGAGATACGTAGAATCAGGTTGCGCAAGGTTGTAAAGTAATCGGAAAAAATCTGGAGCATATCAGTGCACGTGTCGAAAGAGAAAACGTTCCTCTCCAGATTACTTGTAATAACACGTAAAAGGGTTTCTCGCAGCTGGCCGGTGCTACCAGCTGGTCTGGCACCTTCTGGCACCAATCTGGAAAAAAGAAACGGAGTGGGAAAAAAAAAAAAAAAGCAATGCGACAGAGAATGGGGAAAAAAGGGGGAGGTCCAGACGGAAAGGGAGAATGAAGGAAAGGAAAAAAAAAAAAAAAACCAAGGCGAAAGGGAAGGGGGAAAAAGGGGGGGGTCCAGCCTGGAAAGGAAGGGAGAGCGAAAGGAAAAAAAAAAAAAAAACCAAGGCGAAAGGGAAGGGGGAAAAAGGGGGGGGTCCAGCCTGGAAAGGAAGGGAGAGCGAAAGGAAAAAAAAAAAAAAAACAAAGCGAAAAGAGAGGGGGAAAAAAGGGGGGGGGCCAGACGGAAAGGGAGAATGAAGGAAAAGAAAAAAAAAAAAAAAAAAAAAAAAGAGCAAAGAAATTCATCGTGTGTAACTGATAGTTTCATTAATAAGAATGACATTGGGCCAAGCAGCTGGTGTTGTGGACACATCTTATCACCTGGCACCATCGAATTAACCGTGGCCCGTTAAATGAGTGGCCTGCAGAGAAGTGCACACCCGGAGAAGCACTGATTCCTCTGCATATTTCAGCAGAAGAAAGCAAAATGAACGGCTGGCATATCGGGACGCGCACGATTCAACGGCGTGCTTTCATTTGTGGTGAAAGGTCGATGAAGAATAAGTGGGTTCTGCTTGTACTCCCGGCTCTTCTCGCTTCTTTCTTGTTTCCTTTATAAATAACAAGCGATCGGTTTGTACAGGGTGGTTTGCATCAATCGGTCGTCATGATTTTCGAGCAACCGTATCGATAATTTAATAGAAAGATTAATAAAAAAATCGAGGGATAATACTTCGAAAGTATAATTCTTTTCTCTAAAAAAGGAAATCGTTTAGCCTTTTTCCTTTTTTTTTTTTAAATCGTATCTTGGATTAAAAATCACTTTACAATTCTCTCACGATCTATACTCTACTTTATAACCGTGTCTTGTCTCTAAGATCGTAGCAATCGATTTTCATTAGAACGTCTGGTACCCATTTGATAGGGACGAGTAACTTCATATTGTCCCTCTTATTTTTTTTTTTTTTCTTTTTATATCCCTCTCTCATCCAGATAACGATCAAAATAACGATGTATTTTGAAGATACCGTCGATGAAGATGCTAAATTGTAACACTTTTAACAATATAGAATGATTGAAAGATACGTTTGATGGATCACGTTCGATCGATCAATAATGAATTGTATGCAAACGATCAACAGGGACCTAGTTTCGTTTTACCGATTTGATCCCTCTATACCTTTATAGTTGGTACGTTCTAACGTCAAATGAACAATTTCTGCTCTACTTGCATCAGCAACGATAGGTACATTCTTCTTTTACGATTGACAAGGAAGATAACGATTTCAGTCATGAAGCAGAAATAGGATTGGCAAAGTTACCGGCCCGATTAACCTTTTAACCGAACGATTTGGAATAAACAATATTTCATGTGCTCGGCATGCGAATAGTTAAATCACAGATGGCGGTTCACTGATCGTAGTATCGCGTGTGCATTCGTTGCAAATTCAGCAAGTAACGTGCTTATGTACATTTTTTTCTTCTTTTATTTTTTAAATAAAAAATAAAATTGGCAATACAACGTTGGCAAAAGTCTAGGTTTAATTGGAACAAAATTCGAAAATGTTTATTTTCAAATTGAATTATTCGAGGAAATGCACTAACGATGACGAAGCGATGATGTTTAACTTTCGAAGCTTAACTACAGATATTATTCGATCAAATTGAAAAACATCGGTTAAAGAAGAAATCGAGTTCTGAGATAAATGAGTAAAATATTTTAGCTATCCTCTTCGAAGGAATGAGTTCAAATTTTAATAAAATTTTAATAAAAGATAAATGGTGGAAAATATATTTAAAAGGCATATAACGTTAGATCGATCGCGGACTTTCCATAAGTGTTTTATTCCTGAAACGGGGACGATCTCGAGCAATACAGACGGGTGAATGTTATGCAATGACCCGAGCATGTTCGAGAGATCATCAAACGCGAGAGGGAAAAGGAGGAGGTGGAGAAGCAAAAGAGCGGAATGTTGAACGCAGTGATTTCGCAGTAAAGATTTACAAAACGAAGGAAAGGGGGGAGGAGGAGGGTTAAAAGAAGAAAGAAGGTAAATATGCATTAAACGGTCAGCTGATTTTACGATGAAAATACGATCGATATATAATAAGGAATCCCGTCTTCTTTTTGGCGCGTCTAATTTGCAAAAATAAGAAAATATCCGCGATAATTCTAGAAAATAATTATGGAAAAAAGAGAAGAATTAGAACGTGTATAAAACATCTACGTGATGTTTCCACTCGATTAGCTTTTAAGACGATTCATCCTATCAGCGATAGGATGAATCTCGTGTCGCGGAAGAAAAATGCAGATATTTTGTTAATCATTGGATACATTGACGATTCGAATCAGTGACATTTCCAACTTCGAAGAAAAAGTTTCAGAAGTTGCTTAAGGTTTCATTTCTGATCATTAGTTACAAGCATTTCCATTTCCTGTACAATTTTACTTTAAGAATGAAATAACGGTCCTAGATAAAATTGCATCGTCATTTGCCACGAATACTAATAATTTAATTAACGATGGAATAACGCGTTCAAATTAGACGCTTCAAATTTTTGTGCAAATTCTTTTCAGAACGAGGGAGAAACACGAGGGAAGAGATTGTATTGGAATTGAAAAAATTAAATTCAAATCTTGTTTTAAAAATATTAAAAAAAATTTCCTTGCTATCACTATAGCCTCCGTATGGTAGGGAATCTAGGATGAGGATGAGAGGTCCCTCCTTCTTCTGATCAAAAGCCACGGATAAACAAGTTACTTTCTGCACGAAAGGATAGAGATTGCTACCGAGTAAGATTAGTAACCCGATCTAAGCGAGATCCGTGTATGCAACGTGATGTAACAATATGAAGGCACGGAACAGAAATCGGTAATTGTATCTGGCCGATAATCGACCGAACAAATTCATCGAGCGTTGTGCAATTGAAAATCCGACGTATTACGAAAAACT